TTTCTCCTGTATTACGCTTTCCTCAATGTCAAACCACGGACCGATAAATGGTGTGAAGATTTCTCGTGCGTACACCCATCTCATCCTTTTGTAGCGTGGAGCTGACTGAGTTAACATTCTGCCGTGCTCCACGACCTCACTCACCTTTTTCTGTTCTTACCGATTCGCTCTCGCTCTTTATCCATCGAAATCGATCCATATCGCCTCCATCGGCCCATGTTTCATACAGCCATAGACGACCCCCACAAGATCGTCAAAGTTGTCGCCACCGACGGCAAGTCGGGTGACACACGGGAGATTTCGTACAACAACTGCAAAATCATTGGAAACGGTTCATTCGGTGTCGTTTTTCAAGCAAAACTCGTGGATTCTCCAAAGGAAAATGAAGATATTGCGATCAAGAAGGTTTTGCAGGACAAACGGTTCAAAGTTCGTCGCCCTGTTTCCGTTGCTCGGTTGTTCGTTGACTGACCATGTCCTTTTTCATATCTCCTTTTTTTGGCAACCAGAACCGTGAACTGCAGATTATGAGGCTGGTCTCTCATCCAAACGTTGTCGACCTTCGTGCGTTTTTCTACTCGAATGGGGACAAGGCACGGCTCTTTTCCATACCCTACCCTGACCGACGGCCTTTTCGGAACTAACCTTGATGTCTGTCAACAGAAGGACGAGGTGTATCTCAACTTGATGCTCGAATACGTGCCGGAAACCGTCTATCGCGCCAGTCGCCATTATGCCAAACTCAAGCAACCCATGCCGATGCTGCAGATCAAGCTATACATGTACCAGCTCTTACGGTCTCTCGCATACATTCACTCTGTCGGCATTTGCCATCGGGACATCAAACCTCAGAATTTGCTATTGAATCCTGCGACAGGGGTCCTGAAGTTGTGTGACTTCGGCTCGGCCAAGATCCTGGTCGCTGGGGAACCGAATGTTAGCTACATCTGCTCGAGATACTATCGAGCTCCCGAGCTCATCTTCGGTGCCACTAACTACACCACCAACATCGGTATGACAATTTCCGACATCATGCCGTAGTTTGGCCAAGGTGACTAATTAACTTGAACGCACAGATATCTGGTCGACGGGATGTGTGATGGCAGAGTTGATGCTGGGACAACCACTATTTCCAGGAGAGAGCGGCATTGATCAGCTGGTGGAGATCATCAAGGTGCTGGGAACCCCTTCTAGGGAACAGATCAAGACGATGAACCCTAACTATATGGAGCACAAATTCCCTCAAATTAAACCTCACCCCTTCTCGAAAGTAAGTCGCGCAAAAACCTGTCTTATTGACGCAGTTTGGCTCAATGAACTCGGTGCTTCTTCCGTCATCCCTCAGGTTTTCCGCCCCCGGACCGCCCCCGAAGCCATAGACTTGGTTGCCAAGCTGCTTGAGTACACGCCCGGAGCACGGTTGTCCGCCGTCGAGGCTATGGTCCACCCACTATTCGATGAACTGCGGGCTGAAGGAGCACGGATGCCCAATGGAAAGGAGTTCCCTCCACTATTCAACTTTACTCGCGAAGGTATGTGCCTTTTTTGTTGTCACTCCATTTTCGTCTCGGATCTTGACCATTTCGTGCTTCTAGAATTGTCTGTGAGGCCAGACCTGATGCGACGACTTGTTCCACCGCACTGTGAAGCTGAACTGAGCTCACGAAATATCACGTTGGATAACTTTGTACCCATACCACTGGAGCAGATGAAGATAACGCTTGATTGAGCGCAGACCCTCGCTGGCGTGTATTATCGAGATACGTACTATATATATATGATTGTGGTCGTTGTGTGCAATTTTGATTCTCTAGCTGTTCTGATACTTCTCTTCTGCGTATTACTTATATAACTTGACAAATGAATGCGAAGTGTGTAAAGTTGATAAACAAGTGTCAAGTAGATGAAGACATATTGCGCGAACAAGGTGAAGAAACGTTGAAGAAGAAAAAAAACGTGAGTTTGGCGGGATTGCGACATGTGGCGCGAGTAAGTTGCAAGTTGGCTGGGCGCTTCATGTAATAGCAAGGCTGAAGCGGTACGCGAGTCAATAAGCAGGACCCTCATATAAGCTTTCGTCCCTTCCACCCTTCATTTTTACTTTATCATGACCTCTGTTGGCAATACCCCCCCTGGAGGGTCCTACGTTTGCGATACTTTGCCAGCACCTCGACTCGCACCAGAAAGTTCAAAACCTCTCCCCGTTCACCATACGGCCGAGGACAACGAAATGGAATCCAGTACTGTCGTGGAAAAAGGAACAAAAGTGGAGCAGCAGTCGACGGAGGCGACTTCAGTGGCCTTTGCGCCTGCGGGAAGAAAGCTTTGTGTGCGGCATCAGCGAATGGCAGATGAGGGAACGAATTTGAAGCTACAACAGGTGCGCAGTGTCAATATAGTTCTGCGACTGACATCCTAACTAAATGAACTCGAAAAATAGTCTCTAGACAGGCTACCCGTTGGCGAACGTGAATCTGTCAGCACGATATGGTCGATATTCTCCTCGTCGTCGCACCCTCGGCGAGCGCTCATCTTGCAAGGTCTCCTCACGATGTGCTGTTTCTCGCAACTATCACTTCTCACAGACCAGCTCGCACATCTCATCCGTATCGATCCATTCTCAGTCTTCCCAAGGGAGGTTTCACTTAAAGTCCTCGGTCATCTTGATGCGACATCACTATGCCGGGCATCTCAGGTTTCGAGGAAGTGGAAGAGCCTTGCCGACGATGACATATTATGGCGAGGTATTTGCGAGCAGCATATCGGAACCAAGTGTCACAAGTGTGGTTGGGGATTACCCGTCCTCGAGAAGAAGCGGAGATACGTTCAATCACTCTCTCCATGTCCGTCACCAGACCTCACATCGATGAAGCGGTCTCTGGAGGACGTTTCAGGGACGTTTACACCCCCTCTCAAACGCCAACGCTCGGATAAGATGCCAGAGTTTCGACTCGATGTCGAGTCTGGTAAATCCCCGCGTGCAGCAGACTGCGAGGCATCATCTTCGTGCTCAATCCTTACTACTAAGGTTCCCCCGAAGGGCGATGGCACACGACCATGGAAGGATGTTTACAGCGAGCGTATGACCATCGAACGGAATTGGAGACGTGGGCGTTGCAAGGTGCGGACCCTCAAAGGACACACCGATGGCGTTATGTGTCTTCAATACAGCGAAACATTATCTCATCCCGCATTCCCTATCCTCATCACCGGCTCTTACGACTGCACCGCTCGCGTTTGGAACCTCGAGACTGGTGCGGTCTTGCACACACTTTCCGGTCACGCCGAGCCGATCAGGGCGCTACAATTCGACGAATGCAAGCTGATTACGGGGAGTATGGATCATACGCTGAAGGTCTGGGATTGGAGAAGGGGAACCTGTATCCGAACGTTGACTGGACACACCAACGGTGTGGTCTGTCTCAACTTTGACTCGAATGTGTTGGCCAGCGGGAGCGTCGATGCGACGATCAGAGTCTGGAACCTACGGACGGGAGGCGCATTCACTCTTCGCGGACACAGGGACTGGGTTAACTCTGTGCAACTGTGGGACTCTAACGCGGGCACGTCGTCTGTTCATTCACCTTCGCCCTCCTTCGATGTACCAGGATGTGGGGCGCCCCAGATTGACCCAGGGAAGATGCTGCTCTCTGCATCCGACGATGGGTCGATCAAGTTGTGGGATCTCAATCTGCGAACTTGCGTGCGACACTTTGTGGGGCATGTTGCACAAGTACAGAGCATGAAATTGTTGCTGGCAGACGACCACGAGAACCCTCCCGACGATTCTCAGGAGTCTGATTCTGGCTCTGAGATTGTTGATCTCGATGTGGAGATGACCGTTCCTACACCCCCATCAAGCTCAGCAGAATCATCTTCGAGCGGGAAGCAGCATGACACCATCCCCACGCTTTCGAGGACGACGAAATCCAAAGCACCAGTCCTCATCTCGGGCAGTCTAGACAACACCATCAAGGTGTGGGACATTGACACAGGGAAAACTGTTCGGACGTTCTTTGGTCACATCGAAGGCGTGTGGGGAGTCGCTGCAGATAAAATGCGTTTGGTCAGTGCCAGCCATGACCGAACCATCAAGGTATGCCATCTTTTGAAGATGTCTTGGCGATCTTTCTGACATCCCCTTGATTCATGAGGTATGGAATCGCGAAGATGGGAAATGCATCTCGACATTGGTTGGCCACGCCGGTGCTGTCAGCTGCATCGCCCTCGGAGAAGACAAGCTCATATCTGGGAGCGATGATCATACTGTCAAGGTATGGAGCTTTGCGTGATCTCCGAGAGCTATTCCCTAGACTTGTTCCTGTGCTTGCTTTGGGTTACATCACCCCGACTCCTTCCACACCGGTCGTCCCCCCGGCGGTTCGTTATTTATACCTTAACTTACTGGAATCCCTAACACCCACGAGTTCCACCATGTAACATACCCTGTGCATTATTCCTGTTCATAGTACTTTAGTATCAGTAAATCCATGTATGCCTTACATCGATTGCCGGTGCCCTTCGCTAGGGAAAGAACAAAGACAACCCTCGTCTCGTTCTACCTTTCGCTCTCGATGTTAATATTTTATCGTACACGTGCTGAGGTCGGTCTATTATCTTTATACGTATACACTATGTATCCAATACCTACTGTGCAAAGAGCCTTTTCCTAAAGCTCCACGACGAGTGTACCCACCTACCCCCTGCCCCCCGCCCCCTTATCCCCTGATCCCTTCCTCCCCCTCCCCCCGAGTCTAAGACTTCAAAACCTTGTTTTTAACGGTGGTGTCTGTCTCGCAGATATTCCTCTTGACGCCCCCGTACGGTAGTAGACACTCCGCCATCGGAGGTGGTTTCCAAGTTCTCGCCGTTTCCCTGCCTCGCGCCTCTTCCATGCATTCGGGGGGACTAGGGGAGAGTACAGGGAGGTAGAGGGGAGTCGAGAACACTACTCCTATCCGCTGATGCGGTCAACTACCTCACTTGCAGTTCATTACCATGCTGAGATGGCCGAGTGGTCTAAGGCGCGTGACTTAAGTTTATTCAACTTTCATCTCGTGGTGCATTCACCGCGTGGGTTCGAACCCCACTCTCAGCACTTTAGATGAATTTCTGACTTTTTTGAAGCTTCAGATTGTATTGGGAGAGCTTTCGTAGAGCTTGGGAGCGCTTTCGGGGAGGTTTCGCGGCGCGGAGCTTGAAATTCACACTAGCTGCACAGCATGTCACAGGCGGCCACATATTTTTGCGTAACGCGTAAACTTTGATCCCAATGATTCGGCCTCAGTACTAGTCTCAGTACTTGGAGTCTTGGACCTCTTGTTGAACCTCCTCCATCCAGGCTTCGTTTACTCTTGACTAGAACTGGGTCCCGATCCAGATATACCTTTCTAATTCAAAGTAGCCGTGGACGTCAAGCGACATGGCTACTCTGACTATCGCTTGCAACCCGTCACTTCTCCAGCTTGAGGCATCATACATCATGGATCATTGATTGAAGCTTTAGCTTAAGAAAGCTAGGTCTACGACAACCCACTCATTTAGGTGGTGACGGCCGTTTGTGTCCAAGTGGAATATCAATTCGAAGCAGAGCAATCAAGATGGGTAACCGCGGCTCTCACACAAAAACCCACCATCCATCTACCAACTTCCCGGAGCCACGGAATCTCAATTGCGCATCAACAAACTCCATCTCCGCGCATGTAATATCATCAACTATAGCCACTGGTTTCTGCAAAGTTACCTCACGCCGGGATGCGCGAGATCTGTTGCAAAAACCACGTACAAATATAGTCGCGGCAGCTACTTATATCAACACGCCTGAAACTGATGGACTCCCCTTTTGCCCATGGATGCAGCTCTCCCAGACGAGGCGACCTTATTCTCTGTCCTGAATGGAGTGGAAACGTCGAAAAGATTGGCTCTTGCAGGTTTTATGCTGAATATCTGGGATATTGCGATAACACTTGACGAAGAGGTACGCCGCCAGGATCTAACACTCTATCGGTATGTGATTGATTATTTTCAAGGTCGCTTTCTTCTGGTCGGGCGATTGGACGGTGTCTAGGGTGCTGTTTCTATTCGTGAGCGAGGTTGTTTGGCTAAAGATGTTTTGGGATGGCTCAATGAAGATCACAGAACCGCTACTTACCCCCGGCTGTAGTGTCGTGAGTACAGAGCCAGATTGTGTGATTGATGTGAGCTGACATCCAAGGAAGAGTAACGTTGTACGGTAGGCATAGAGCACCCATCCAGCGATTACTGAATCATAACCCTTCCTGTGCGCTAGGCCACTTGGGAAGAAATCTCTCTGCTCAGGTGAGAGATGCTTGCTGTGTCACTCTTTCTCTTTGCTTACCGACCGCTCAACGAAACCTCAAAGTTGTAAGTCTTGGCGTCCGGCGTATGGATCAATAACGCTGACCTCCGTCAAGTTGCAGCACCACGATCAAAACTGTGTTAATGCTTTCCGTAGTCTGCCTCGTTATAGTTCAAGGTATGAATGATCGAATTGACGCACAGATTCTCCAAATTTGATTGCGCCTTATCAGCGGTCCTGGTCACCAGAATATGGCACCTATTTCCTCACAGCAAAACGATCCGTATTGTGACCGTCGCTAGCTCAATACTTGCCGTCATCATCTCCACCGTATTTATGGTCCAGACTTTTCCACTCATCATCGTCCCCGATCAAAAGATTAGTCCCAACCAATATGGATGCTCGATCCCGCCTCCACACACCTTCTGGCGATTCTTCCTTCCCGCACTCATTCTCCATACTCTCCTATTCGTCTTTACCTGCCTTCGAGCATTTCGCACGCCGAAAGTATTCAGAGATGCGCCTTTGATGCGGCGTCTCCTTCGAGAGTAAGTTGCACGATCTACTTCTATGCTAGTGGGCTTGTGAATCATCCCTTCATCCAAGTGGTGGAATATTCTATCTCGTTATCGTAGGTAGGTCGGATCGAACTAGGATGAGCATGGCGGTCCCTGACTACAATATTGACCCATCAGTCATCGTTGGATTGTCTGCCATTGGTGCGTTCTTCGTCGATTTCCCCGCGGTACGTACGAATTATTGGGAGTAGGTCTTAGCTTACTCATTCAACGGAGACATTCAGATTAGTCTACCGGCAACCTATTCGAAGTGAGCCTAATCTCCAGGCCACGAGCTTTACCGTCTCATTGAATCATCGGTAGTTTAATAACGACCGTTTCTTCCGTGGCCATATCTCGGCTTATGCTCAACATACGCTCTCTCGCCGAAAGGCTCGGATACGATGAAAGATGGATTTTCAGCAACGTCGAAATCGGTCGGCTGAACTGGAAGAAGGGTGCACGCGAAGGGGAGATCACCGTGGACGTCGAGGACCACGAGACGGAACAAGAAGACGATGTAACATTGGGTGGTACTCCCCGGGTTCGGAATAGTGATTTGGTGGAATTGGGCATTATGGACGGGTGCTCCTCGTACCGAGGGTCGAAGAGAAGCGTACAAGTGACCAGAGTTGGAGAGCTTCCTTCCGTTGGGGGAGGGATGCCACCGGTAGCGGATTGGTAGCGATGTGAGTGGTTCCCTTGGAGTCTTTGACACGCTTGGAGGCTGAAAGTAGCCTCAGTGTCGGTCGCTAGGCTATGACTTATGATGGTCTGTAGATGTATTCATACACGACGTTTTAATGATCTCTCTTGCAAGTTGCGAACCTTTGATAGGTCATGAACGGGTTTCCCATGTCCAAGCATGTCCATCAACCTCCATCAACATATCTCCAGCACCTTGTCAACGCATCACGGTTGACGACGTGCATATGGCTGTTGAAAGCCGGACGTTGTAGGGTACGTACTTGCTTACTGGGAGACCAAAATGCACCGTACAAACTTGGCTGGCCCTGCGAGACATGCGGGTCTCAGGGTTTACGCCGAATCCTTTTGAAATCTCTTGAAAACAAGTAGTCTTGGCTGCGTGCAATGTCGTAACGCTCACCATGTCCAGAGGCCCATTTCACAGATGCGGAGCTCATTTTACTCCTTGAAATTGTACTGTAAGTAGAGTCTGGGTTCAAACTTCTCCGTTGTTTCGAGTGGAGTTCCCTACAGGCTGTGCAGCCTCCTCCTGTCAGGAACTCAATTTCCGGCCACCGTTGCTACGCAGGTAAGTATAACCGTACGTTTCGGGTTTGAAGAGAATCGCTTCCCAACCCTGTCGTTTTCTATACTTTTATCAGCAGGAAAATAAGCGAAGGGTTTGCGATACCTGTTCGGAAGTTGGCAAGGATCAACATTGATCGCAGAGATGCTGGCTTCCCCGGATCGACACAATACATAATTGTGATGAGCGCTGGCGGGGTTCCTTCACGTCTTCCCTCCTTCTTTTTCTGGGATTGACGCTGTTGGGCCGGCCCCTTCCCCACTGTCTTTCATTCTTTCTTCTTCCTTGTTTCTTCTCTCATTTCTTGTTTTCTCGTTACTTTTGCGCGGAGTAGCACTCTGGTTTCTCGTTCGTACAAGAGTTGACAAGACAGCCTGTTACGCATTGGAATGGACCAAGTGACATACCAGAAGGTTATCGCGGGGATTGAGGGAGTGGAGGCCGCGAGAATAATTTCGATCGCGTTCTTTTGTCTTTATGGTGCGTTGTGATTGCTTCTTTTCGTGTACTTTTCATGAACTGACTTGGGACTTGAAGTGTACGAGGTGAATCCACTTTTTGTCCGCTGACAAGTGTTGGGACCTGAGGCTCATTCGCGCAACAGTGGTTGATCACTCTGGACCAAGAGGTTCGCGTTATTCGCTCACAGGGCAACCGACGGAAGGCTGAATGGTTTATAGGTCGAATATTTCTGGTCCGAGGGACGTTGGACCACTTCCCGAGTTCTGTTCTTCCTTGTAGGTCTGCGTTCATCGCTCCCGATTCACGCCCAGCTAAGGACGATTGTAGAATCGATATGCTCCTTTTATGATCATGATGTGAGTATCAGCTCGCTGTCCTTGTCCTGTGTATTGACCGGCGTGAAATAGCTTCGCATTCTTCGGTTAGTATATGCGGCTGTCAAAACGCGTCTTCGTAACTCATGTCGGTCTTGATACACAGCACTCGAATTGCAAGAGCCATCCGACCAAGTACGTGATTTTCTGTTGCTGCTGATCCTAGGCTGATGCCTTTCTCAGTTGTATGTGTTGCATTCTCATACGGACATCCTAACAAGTAGTCTGACATGACGCAGTTGCCGCCTTGCCATACAGATCTCGGTCCTCCTCAATATTCTTGCGATCGGGGTCATCCAGGCAATGCTCGTTTACCGAGTTTGGCACCTTTTCGGGAGTAAAAGTCGCATTCAGTGGGGGATAGTTGGCGCGTTCGCGTGCTCGATCTTTTTCTCCATCTTGTTCACGGTCATCGCTTTGGCCGACTTGGTCATTTTAAGCGACGAAGATATGAGGAGGGTCCCTGGTAGTCCGGGGTGTCGAGCGTCGCGTCCGCCGAATTATTGGAGGATATATCTTCCTTCATTGATCTTACATGTGAGATTTC